GGGGGGCAGATATTTACCTTTAAGACGGCATACCCTGACACGACCATCGACGTGATGAATGATAAATTGTGATGCATCCGACCAGGCAACTGTTTTCCACTTATCCGTGGTCCAGTCTCGATGTTCCTGGGCCCACTGTATGCGTAGTTGGCAATGACGCTTGGTCAACAGAGGCACACGAGTAGGACGTGTGCTGTGCAGTACCATATCCAACAGTGTCTGCTGAACTGTGTGTTCCGAAACACTTGCACTTGGACCTGCATTGTATTGGGCTGTCAGCTAGGCCACTCTTTGTCACCGATTTTGCTGTACCAAGCGGGGCATTCTCGAGTGCCCTTTTTCTTTGATGACGCATGGACATCCAACACCTTGGTGTCTACTGTTGGTTTCACTATTATTTATCCACTTTGCATAAATGCTAACAATGGGAGATCGTGAGCAACCAACTAGTCGTGCAGTTTTCGGAGATACTCATTCCGAGTCTTCGGGATATTAGAATCTGCTCTCTATTAAAATCGCTTAGATCAGCAGCCTATCCCATCACTCGCAAAAGTAAGTACGTGAATGACTTCGTAACCTTCTCCAACAGCAGTTAAATACCCTTCCCACTTAATCACAAGTCCTTCACATCATACAGACGAGTTTAATGAAAAATGTGGGGAGGGTCATAATGTTTTGGATCATCAGTGTACATAAATTCGCTCTTATTAAAAAAAAAAAAGATCCATCAGCTGCTTTCAGATTGCACATTTGGCCTACATGCACTTTGATTTCGAGACCGTTGTATTATATATATGTTTTCATATTCTCTAAATGTTAATTTTACTTCAGATTTATCCTACCAACAAATTAAGATAAATTACTAGTTTTCCTTAGTTATCCTTTAGAGCAGGGGTTGGCAACGCGGCGCCCGCGGGTGCTGTGGCTTCTACCGCCATATCTCTATGCGCCTGTGCTAAATTATTCTGCTCTGTATGCAGTTTTGCAGTTCTTGGTTTACGTTTACATGATACATATTAAAATTATGTATTTTTACATCTGTGACTCAAACCGCCATTGCATTGCCACTGCTCGAAATGTTTCATTATCGAGCGGTGCCGACTGAAGTCGGACGGACCCGACAGCGCGGCGCAGCATGGTTGATGCATTTAACCGTAGCCTCTCTGACGCAATCGCCAGTACGTGCGGGCAAAAAGATTTAGCTGATGGTCATAATGTTTGACTCGTCAGTGTAAATTAAATTATCAACTAACCATCTTGATGAGCTGAATTTGCTGAACATACCTTGGAAACGTATCTCAGAAAAGACAATAAATAACTCGTTTAAGCAGGCTTGCCTTATAATAAATAATGAAATGACGTTTAAGAAAGAAAAAAAAAACTTCAGGCACTAATATCAATTGTGAAGAACTGAAATGGTTGAGTGGATATTGGTGAAAAATTCAGGTTGCAGCATTAACGATAAAAGAAGTCGCTTTCTGAAGTCTGCTTTTCTGTCCTAAACTTTCTGAAGAAGATACTGAAATTGGCGAATTTCCCACAAATGCTGAGATAAGCTAGCCGCAAATCTGAGTGTGAAGATTAGGGCAGGCGTCGGCAATTCTATTTGGCTGCAGCTCAAAATCAACCAGAAGTGCCTGTTGCTTATTAAACATACTGGTTAATAAACTCAGCGGCATATTACATTCAGACTTCCAGGAGTCATAACAAATACATTCTAATCAATAGAAAAACCTCTGTTTATTGAACTCATCCTCGCCACTTCCAAAAGTAAGACTGATTTAGTAGCAGAATTTTCTACTGCATATATCAGAGCTGAGTGTAACATATTGTGTATCATGGCCTTTATCTTTCAGGTATGTAGAGTTTCAGTAAACGAGTTCGACCGAAATTTTCTTGTCTATATCCCTTTACTTGTGAGACACTGTTTTCAGGGTTCATTGTCAGCAATGAGCTTCAGAAGAGCAGAATTTTCTAATCTAAATATTAACAAGAACAATCCTCTGAATACATTGTAAATGAATGACGTTTTCATACCAGGTGATAGGTGGTGGAAGTGCAATTTCTGAATCCCATTTTTTAAGATTTCCACATTTAAAATCTTCCATTTAAGATGAACACATTATGTTCAAGAAAAGTTATAAAAAGGATCATGAAATTCTTCTTAACAAAAAAATAACCGTGCATTAATAATCTTTTAGAGGAAAGGAAGTGGTAACTATAGGCTGAAGGAAAAGCAAAGAAAGCGTTGATCATATAATCATGAAGGGGCAGATTAACTAAACAAAAGGGTAATCTTTCTGCCGGCTAGAAACGTAAGTTTTAAAGTTTGAATAAATCACTAAAAGAAACTCTTTTTAAAATTAGCCGTTGCGTAACTTGTAACCTGTCGAAAATATCAAGCGAAAAGAACTACTACTAAAACAGAGGTTAAACTGTTAAAACATTTTGTTGTTCTTGGTAGTTGCAGCCAGAGAAAACGGCCGTTTAAACTGGGAAAGACCAAAACAGCATTATGCAATTTACTTAAGGAATTACAATTAATGAAGAACTAATAAAAAATACAGAAATCGAAAGACGTTGAAATTACTTTTCTAGTATGATTTGAAGCTATAAAACTAAAGGGTGTTTCTATTTCTTATTCACTAAATGCTAAGGAAGAATTTTATATCAACTGACAGATGGCTCACAATTTGAAGAAAAAGAAATCCAACGTTGTTTTGCGGAAATGTATGGTGAGAAAGAAGAAGTAGATCATCATGCAGAAGATGACTGGATAAAAGCGCTTTACTTCGGCTGCTAAATGAATACAAGCCACATGAAATTAAAATGCAGATAGAAGTGGAAAGCGTTACAGTAAAGGTATTTTCTCCCTCCTTACCGCATGCCTTCGCGGTGTAATTTGAAGTACTTCCGACTGAGTTCCAGTGTTCGAATCCCAGAGAGCGTAATGCATATTTTGCTTCTCTAAGTAGAACTAATGTTTCAACAGGTGGTGACCGAACTAAAAGGTGGTGGACAATGATTCGTTACTACCAGAATTTGGCGACTGGATTTCTTCTTCCTTAGTCACTCTTTAACCCTTTCCGGCGCGCTACCTTTTAAAGTCAGAGTTTTGATTTAAAAAAAAAAAAAAAAAAAAGTAGGTGGCAGTCTAATTAGGCCTAGGGGACTACACAAGTAAAATTTTGTGAAGATATTTATCGTTTTAATTCTGTGGGTGTGCCTAAAGTGGCGCACTGATTGAATAGAGCTTCGAAAAGAGTGCTGAAACGAGCATTGTTGTCAATGAACTGACCGATGAGATGCGGAGAAATAAAGAATACAGACTCTCAGTTGTCCTAGATTATCGGTGATCCCGGTCTGGGCACACCTAGGGTTCGTCGTTTGATTTTAAGCAAGATTTCCAGGTAAAAATTTAAAACTAATATAGAATAAGGAGGTTAGCATACATCCAAAAAAAATAACATAGAAATTTCTTTTCAAACAATTCCTTTTATACCCTAAAAAAATCTGAAAGATTTCTTTGAAAAATGAGGGTCTTACAAAACTAAACATGGCTAAAATATATGGACTGGTTTGTATTGAGCTGCCATCTACTATAAATAAAGAAGGTTCAGAGTAACCTATAGTAACCTATAAATCCTTTTTCATTCAATTTTTCTGTGCGTACAGAAGGAAATTTTTAGGTGTGTCCAGACCGGACACACTGTGCCACAAAGGGCTAAGCGAGGGTATTTGTAAGGAGTTTTCTCCCGTGATCCTTCGTCGTATAACACATCCGGCTAGAAATTATAATTTTCGAATCCCGGTGAGGGCTTGCACATTTTCTCGTTTCTTACCTTGAAATAAAATTCTACTGACATTACGAAAATACACAGTAATAACTGCAATTAAAGCAGCAGTTGGTTTAAGAAACTTGAGGAATAAGTTATTGTGTTACTAATGTGTCATATGGACACTAGCAATTAAGAAAACAGCGGTTATTGACAAAAACAAGAAAACCTCGCTGTTTGAAAGAAGTGAAGAACTTATCTCTAACTTACGACAGAAATAAGAACTTATTGATGACAAGTAACATTTTTACTGATTCTCTTTTGAAATGCTACAGGAAACTGAAAAATTATAATTTTTGAATCAAGACAAAATAGTGTCCTGCAATTGTGCAGAACACACGCCTCTAATCTCTTTCTGAAAAGGCATTCTTAAACTCTTCCTGCAAATATTCAGCTTTTATAAAAGCTTTATAGAATTGCTTAAAGGTTATTCTAAAATCTTTTAGATGTCATTATAGAAAGCATGTTCAGAAAATGATGAAAAAAACTGAATTTTGTGGAAATGCAAGCACTTCGAAAGAGGTAAGTAAATTTGGTTTCTCTGATAGAGTCATGCTTTATCGTCAATACAGGACGTTAATCTTTTAAAATTAGTCAAACTCTCTTTGATAATTTGCCTTTTATATAGAAGAACCATGAGAAGAATTGCAAATTATAGCCACTGTTTTATACTTCATACAAGCAAGTTATAAAGATTCATTTTTAGAATATGCATCAATTCAGAGCAATATCGAAAAAACTCGTGTAAAAACTGACTGTGAAAGTGTTAAAAGAACTGCAGAAACTGACAGCTTCTGTCCTACAGAAAAGTGTGATGTCGTGCTAACACCAATCGAAACTAGAAAAACGCTTAAGATTCTAAACAAAAATCTTGAACTGAAAGGTGCTGATTAAAAAAAAAAAAAAAAAAAAAAAAAAAAAAAACCGAGAATACAATTGAAAAAAAGGTTGCTGCATAATGTGAAACAGAGATAAAATAGTTATCTATAAGAGATAAAATTTCACCAGGAAAGTAATTTTAAAAGTATTTTTATAAAAAATTAAATTCTTACTCTCTCTATCGACATCATAAGGATTAATTTATTATCCATTATCTAAAGCTCTTGCTATTTCATACTATGAAACATGTTATATGAAAAGGAACTAAGACTGATAGGCAGAAAATCCCATATCGTATTACTTTATTCAAATATTAAAATAACTTTTAATGAGACAGCAAAATTTGATTTATATGAAATTAAAATAATTTTACAAAAATTTTCTTCTAATAAGAAATTTTGAACAAGCGTAAGTTGCAGCTCCGATAGCGGTTGATGCAATAATGATCTTTATAAAGCCTGGAACGGATGGAGTGTACTTTTCTTTGAAGGAGCTCACAAATGGCTTGGCCACAACATCCTGAAAATATATTGATTGATAATAATATAATTAAGGTATATTACATTGATAATTGAGATATATTAGATTTAAATAAATTACGGTGAATAGCTTTTCATAACAACCAAAATTCAACTACTATATATGGACTATATGAGGAAAAACTATATATTATGTAAGAAGAGACCATCAGTTCTTCGCTTTTATTTCACAGATGAGTTCTGGGAATCGAGAGATACGCGTGCGAGCTGCGCTGTTTAAATGCGTCTTGCACTGCGTTGTGTTCAAGCTGAAGTGGTAACTGCTGAATGCACTTGTCATACTGAGAAGAATTGTATGAGTACGTTTGTAGAAAAATCCAGGAATATAAAGTGTTTTTTTCTTTGAAAAAATAAATTTTATCAAGCCACCATCGGTTATGTGTGCATTAAATCCCTTGCGAAGCCGTACGCTCGTAACAATTTTAGTGTCAGAAGTGGGATTGAATGCCAAGGAAAAGAGCGATGGATTAGAAGTTAAGGCAACTGATCACAGTCTTTGCTGCATTCCAAAAGAAAGGTGGAATTGGCCATCAAGTCCGTTAAAAAGGAGATAAAATCGGGTCAAGAAAAGATAGAAGGTAGTCAAGAGGAAATAAAAAGAGAAATTACTCCCATAATTGAAAACAAATTTGAGACTATGGAAGGCAGAATAGACACGATTGAAGATAAATTTGGAGAAATTCAAGAAAGAGTTCTACTGTCGAACAACAAGCTGAAGAAAGAGTTTCTGCTCTCCAGTAACAAATCGAAGAAAAACTTTTAAAATTGCGATGTTTTTTCCCTTGCTTCCTTTTTTGCCACGAAGTTTTACACAACGTTTTAGCCCTACGTTTTTTTCCTACGCGACGTTTTCGCCTGTAATCAAATTTAAGACCGTCTTTTGAATGCATCGCCTTTAATATCCTCTGCCACGATCTGTTCCTAGCAAATAAATCCTCTTTGTTACTGATTAATTTAAAAAGTGGTCCTGGATTTGCCTGGATTTTAAAAGTGGAATACAGCACTGGATTTCGAGTTTTGCGGTACCTCTCCAGTTGTCTTCCGATCAAGTGAGGAATTTTATCTTGGCTGGAATTAAGGAACTGTGAAAACGACTCGGCATAGACAAAACCCCAAACCCCCTAACGACAGCTTTAAATCCACAATCAGAAGGCATGATAGAGAGATTTAAACGAATCTTCTTTAATAACTTGTGGCTAATGTTTTCCAGAAACCAATAGGACTGAGACCAGAAGTTACCTCTGCTCTTACTGGCCTATCAAAATGCATTACCGGGAGACTACCGGCTATTCCCCCATCCTAAATGCTGTTCGGTTGTGAGCTTCGTCTGACTTGTGTTCTGTTGTTTGGTCACCACCTGGATGCGCTTTCATCCCTTGAAAAGTGCATTCAGAATCTCCAAGCACGTTTGAAGTGACGCGCAGTTTTGCACAAGAGCGAGTCAACTTAGCGACGGAAGAAATGAAGATCCGTTACGAAACGAGAGTTTTACAGGACATGTGTTCAAGGAAAGTCACAAGGTGCGGTTATGGAATTGGATTGATTTTCCCTAGTTATAATTATGGGTTCCTTTCCAAGGATTGTACTACCCGAGACCAATTTCTGGGAAGGGGGAATATTAGGAATTTGATACAATGTAAATGAACAGTTTCAAGAAAAGCGAATCTCTAGCGGAAACGCAAGGTTATAGAGGAAGGTCCATTTTACATTAAGGTAAATAGCTGCCTCGTTAACAGCTGGCGATGGTTTTGACAGCTAATTTTTGTCCCCAAATTTTACGAAAAACTCCAAAATTCACCAAACATAGAGACATTTTGGTTTGATCCTTATATAATCGTAAATGGTCTAATTCTTATGTAACTGTAACTGCATCCGGCCCTAAATATAACTTAACTCTGTCCAGCCCTATATATAACTTAACTCTGTCCAGCCCTATATATAACTCTAACTGTATTAGGTCCTATATGTAATTGTAACTGTATATTGTTGCGGTTATATATAGGGCTAGATACAGTTACAGCAATCGAAGTTACTGGAAATTTCTCGGCGGCCGGGTTAAAACTATATAAGACTAGAGAGAGCATCAGTTCTTTATTTTTAGTTAAGTGCCTGAGTTCAGAATATTGAAAGATTCTGCATTCTTTAGATGCGCCTTGCAATGCTTTGTTTTTAACGTTCTTATTAATTTTAAGTGGCAGCTCCTGATTGTGCTGTGTCATTGTGTGTTGAGAAGAGCTGAACAGTACTTTTGTAGGAAAGGTCGAGAATTGTAAAGTGTGTCTTCCGAAAATAAATTTTATCAAGCTACCATCGGTTCTGGGTGCATTCAATCAATTATGAACCCGTAAGTAAGTAATAATATTATTAATTTATAAGAAAAATTCGAATATGTTTTTCTAAATTAATTATATATAATGCCTTGAAAAAGTTACAAATGTAATGCTTCGAAGCTAAAATGATATCATACACGAATAGGAACGTGTGTTTTGGATTCTGTAATTCAAGAAAAGGAAAACTTCCTCAATCATTCATCATTTTTAACCAGTACGAGGACAAAGGATAATGTACTTAAGTATGTCTTACCTCCGATTCAGGTTCCTCTAGCCAAATGTGATCACGAGTAATTTTGCCCATTCTATGAAGTATTTCTCTGGCAGCTCTTTCTCCAGCTTCAATAGCTCCTTCCATGTAACCAGACCATTTCACTGCAGTCTCGGTGCCCGCGAAATGCAGTCGGCCTATAGGTGCCCTCAGGACTCTGTAAAATTTGAAAGAAAATATGAACGATTACTGCAAAATGGATAGCTTTACATTCTGAACTACCATAATATTGATCGAGTTACATAAATCTCTCAAAGAAAGTAATGGCTTCGAAGAAACCATTTTAACCTTTTAGACCCCAAACTAATCAGATTTAATAAATTCAAAAACACTATTTGAACTATTTTTTTTTCCTCAAAACGTGCAGTAATATAAAAAAAAAATTAAAGGGCATTTTATCTTAATATTTTCAATCTTTATACTATAGTTAAAACCTACAGTAAATTTGCGTGACATTTGTAAATGTTAGAAAACTTTATAGAGTCATTAAGTTTTTTTTTTTTTTTTTTTTTTTTTTTTTAAAGCAGGACACATGAAAAATGAGCAATGTCTTCGCCGTGATTCGAACGTGGACCCCTCGAATATGCGCCGAGTGTATTATCGTTACACCACGAATGCATACTAGAAGGAGGGAGAAAATATCTTATATACCCCGCGTGGCCTGTTATGACGATATGACGATAAGTTGTTTGGTTAGGTGGGTCGGGCTGCGCCCACATCTGGTTCCTTATATACTCCCCCTTTTAAAGAGCGACGGGGCATTAAGGGACCAAACTGCCAAATCTTGGTGGTGACGAATTACTGTCCACTACCTTTTAGTTCGGGCGCCACTGCAGTGTCATAAAGTTTTTTGATGCTGGAGACGTGAAACGTGTGCAATGCCCTACCCAGGATTCGAACCTGGACCTCTCGAATACGTTCCCAGTGTGTTACCGTTGCACCACGAAGATATGCTGGAAGGAGGGAGAAAATGCCTTACACACACTCCCTTTCAAAGGATGATTGGTAATTAAGGGATCCAGTCGCCAGATCCTGGTGGTGACGAACCATTGTCCACCACCTTTTAGTTCGGGTGCCACTGTAGAGACATTAGGTTATTTCTGAAGCAGGAGATATGAAAAATTAGCAATACCCTCGCCGGGACTCGAACTCTGGACCTCTCGAATACGAGTAAGTGTGCTTCCAGCTGCGTATGCATGTTGGAAGGAGGGAGAAATACCTTATATACTCCCCCTTTTAAAAAAGAGACCAGAGATTAGGGGACCCAGTCGCCCAATCCTGGTAGTAACGAAATATCGTCTACCACGTTTTTCGTTCGGGCGCCACTGCAGATTCATTAGGTTATTTTGAAGCAGTAGACATCAGGAAGGTGCAATGTCCTCGCCATGACTCGATTCTGGACCTCTCGAATACGCGTCAAGCGTGCTACCGTTACACCACGTAGGTATGCTGGAAGGAGGGAGGAAACTGCATTTTATATCTCGTTTTGGTGGAAAAATCCATGCTTGCTGAAACATCTTTGTTGTAATGTCCTACAGAACATTTACAAGAACCAGACATTCCAGAACGTTGCCAATATATCCAAGATCTGGCTACGACAAGCCCATGAGAATGGGCTCCAAAGAATTAAGGTCATGTTTTTGAAGATAGAGTTAGCAGAATGTATATCCAAGACCTGGCTACCTCAAGCCCATGAGAATGGCTGGTATCCTGGCTAGAAGTCTCGAAAGAATTAAGGTCATGTTTTCAAGGATAGAGTTTGCAGAATGCAAAGACTGCAAAGTACGAGTAATTATTTATTAAGCTTTCTAATTTCTTTTTTTGGAAAATCGTTAAATAGGAACAAAATTAGCTAGAATCTTTAAAATTTCAGAAGCTGAGTACGAATAGAATGGGAAAATAAAAATGGAACCAAAAAAGAGTTAAAACATTTTTAGCCTTCTTAATAGATTTAATAAGATTCCAATTAAAGAATCAAGATTTAAAAATATAGCTGTTTTAAATTTACTTCCCTTATAACGTGTTAAATCTATTAACTTTTGATTGAATTTTAAATTACGTTTGAACGGATAAATGCAGCTAGAGGGTTTAGTGTATTGTATAAAGCAGCGGTCGCCAACCTGTGGTCCACGGACCACTGATGGTCCGTAATAACTTTCTGCAGAAAAATTGGGACATTATTTATATTTTTATGACGATTCAGTTTAAAAAATTAAGAGTAACAAAACCTATTATGAAATATGGGTTATACTCTTTTTTAAAAAAAAAAAAAATTTTAGCTAAATTACTTTTAGCGAAATTCCTTTTGAATTTAACGACTTTTTAGCTACTTTTGCAGGCGTATCTAGCGACATTTTGAAAGTGAGAGTTGGCATCTATAGGTATGCTGCTGTTATCAATATTAGCGTGAACTGGAATTATCTTTCCTTTTGAATTACAAACATATGCTATTGTAGTAGTTAATAACACAGTTTCTCTCCGTGTCAATAGGCAACTTGATGGATTTTTATGAGAATTATCTGCATTCTTGTTTATAATTGCATCATTAGAAGTTTCAGTTTTTGTTTCACCTAACTGTTGATCGATGGCGCCATTGCTGAGTAAGAGAGGATTATTATGTTTACAATAAATAAAAACTGGCGGCAAAACACTATCATTTTATTGATATTGCTTTGCTTTTGCCGCTTTGTTCTTGTTTTTCGTGAAGTTCCTTTTCACTGATATGGAAGTGTGAAGCTTTCTGTACAAGAAGGAAGATTTTTGTACTTTTCATGTAATTTTTCAATGTGAACGAAATACATGTAGTTTGCTAATTATTATTGTATAAATGTATTTACCTTTTCTTAAATTCATATTAGTGATCCGCCAAATATAAAATTATATATGTAGTGGTCGCTGAAGTTCTAAGGGTTGACGACCGCTGGTATAGAGTACTGTATTTTCTCTAACTGGAATAACAGAATTAATTTGTTAACAGAAGGCGATGTTTTTCCTTTCCGATGCAAGTACGAAAATAAAACTCTTCTTATATTAGTATTAGCATTTAAAGATTGTATCAAAATTTATTCATGCATTGTATTATCTTAGGTTATTCGGTATGTTATCGTACTACGATCTTTCATTAAATTGTCCTATACACAGATTTTATTTTTGCAATGAAAACGGATTCCTTTTAATATTAGAATGAAAACAAATTTAGCTAATTTTATGTTAAGGTAGGTTAATTACACAGGCAGTTTTCGACCATATAAAAATTATTGGCAATATCAAAAGCCTTTAAAAAATGTTATTCTTTATGAATAGTTACAGTTGGATTTTAGCCTGTATAAATACAAGTACTATAATTTACTTTGGTGCTGGTACATTGAAAAGCATTTCAAGGTTGTTAATTAGTTTTTAAATTTATTTCTTGGTAATATATATATATATATGCAGGTTGTTTTTTAATTAATTTTTTTTTTTTTTTTTTTTGCTTTTTAATTTTTTTAAATAATTTCAATGGGTTACAATTTCTGCGCAGTATAAGTTTGTGTGGGTGATATTATGCATTTCTTTTGGTGGTTTTACATTGAAAAGTATCTCTAGTTTGTTAACTGATTTTTGTTTTTTATGCGCTGCCTTTCATTTTTATATGTTCAACTTTTGTTCAGTCATATTGTATGGTAGATTGGTTAGCGGACTTCTAGCCGAAACCGAAGGCTTGGTTTCCTCCTCCCTTCTCGGGGGACTAATAATGTAAGCCTCGGTGATGAGACAGCGAAACGATCGATGATTCCTGACTAATGCTTTGGCTTAAGTGTCCTATCACTGAAAAGTTTACTGAAATGAGAGGTCATGATGAAGTTTCTTTAATCAAAATTGGTTGCGAAAGAAGATCACTGATTCAGACCTTTCCTATGGAATACTTTAACATATCATGAGATCGCATTATATATATATTCACTCTTAGCCAAAAAAAAAAAAAAAAAAAAAAAAAACGACGCACTAAGAAAGAGTTATCCAAATGGGACGAAAATCGGTAGAAGAGATGTACATGTACAGAAAAACAAACGATTACAGTCTGAGAAAAATTGGATGATTTATTGAAGTCATAGAGCTTCACAAAGTGAAAAAAGTCAGCAACGCATTTGTCCACCTCTGGCCCTTATGCAAGCAGTTATTCGGCTTCGCATCGATTGATAGAGATTACGGAAGTCCTCCTGAGGAATATCATGCCAAATTCTGTCCAACTGGCGTGTTAGATCGTCAGCCTCCCGAGCTGGTTGGAGGGCCCTGCCCATAATGCTCCGAACGTGCTCAATAGGAAAGAGATCCGGCGACCTTGCTGGCCAAGGTAATGTTCGGCAAGCACTAAGGCAAGAAGTAGAAACATGTGCAGTGTTCGGGCGGGCATTGTCTTGCTGAAATCTAAGCCCAGGGTGGCGTGACATGAAGGGCAACACAACGGTCCTTAGAACTTCGTCGACATACCGCTGTGCTGTAAGATTGCGACGGATGACAACCAAAGGGATCCTACTATGAAATGAAATGGCACCCCAGATCATCACTCCTGGTTGTCGGCCTCTTCCAGAAGAAAGTCAGGTTGGTATCACACCGCTGTCAGGAGCGTTTCCAGACTCGCCTTCCGTGGCCATCGGGGCTCCGTTCAAAGCGGGACTCATCACTGAAGACTATTATACTCCAGTCAGTGACATTCCAGTGAGAATGAGCCCGACACCATTGCAAACGGGCTTGACGTTGTACAGGGGTCAATGGCAGTCGGCGCAAGGGGCGCCGTGACATCAGCCCCCTTTCTGTGAGCCGTGTATGAATGGTCCTTGCTTCAGTGAAGCACTAGTTGCATGTACAATCTATGATAATGATGCATCTGGGGCTGCGAGTGCCGCTCTGATGATTGCTCGGTCTTCACGTTCTGTCGTTACTCTAGGCCTACCACTTCCTTCTTGACGCTGTGTGCGGCCATGGTTCACGCCTTCCTGCCATCATCTAATTTCAGTGCAATAACCGAATAGTTATGACACAAAGGACTCATTTGGATGATTTTTTACGTTGAAGAATTATCGGCCGTCTGGAATGTGGGCGTACCCAACTGGAAGTATCAGACGAACTTGGAATTGCCCGGAGTGTCATCTCCAGGCTTTGGCAACGATCCCGAGA